CATTAATAAGTAATTACTACTTATTACTCTTTTGATTATCCAACTGTATAGTGAAATATTTTTGAACATATTCTGGGTGTGTAGATTTTCTAAAAATTATAGAGTCTAGTATTGGAAGCTGTCTGAGTTTTTATATTATTGGTCAAAAAGCAGTACTTATATGCATTGACTAAAATAAACAAATATATATGCTTTATGTAAATATAACAAATACAGGTTTTAGCAGTTATGTTAGAGCAATAACTGATTAGGTTTTTTTTTCACATTTTTCTCATAAAACAATGCAGTATTTTTCATTTCATTAATTTAATTCAATTTCTGCACAAAATGAATAAACGTCTATGCAAACAGATCTTATAAAGTACAAGTGGACAGTCTATGTTGCCAGTCTCTGTTTTCTTATGACTGGTAGTTCATAAAACAGTATAGAATATTTAAATCCATCTCCTAATATTTGTATTGTTTAATAGCCACTATCGTACACAGCAGCATTTATGCTTTTCAGTTTCTATTACTTTGGGTAGTACACTGATATTGAGATTGATTTCAGATCAGCACAATACAGCAAGAAGTTTCATTCCACTGGTTGCTTGGTTGTAGCTCTTTTGGACACACCTATTAAAACCCACCTTTGTCACATCAGTTTCAAAAAGCAAAAACTATATAAGCCCTGATATACGGTAAGATAACTGTAAATAAAAAGGTATGTGTCTTAATTTGTAAATGTACATCAACAAACATGAAACCATTTAAAATTTTTATTCATTCCTTCTCAACTAATACATTACATGTGAACTCAAATGTTTCATATGTGCTGATGCAAGTTTGGAAGTTACAAAAACAAATGGCAAAGTTACAAGTTTGCACCAATAGACTTGTAAATCACAAATTTATGAGTATGAATCAATATTCATAGTATTGTGTTATGCAAGCAATGCAGTTCTTAGTAATGCCTTACGTATATATACAGTAACAGGTAAGGTGAACAACTTAATAACAGGTTGTGATCTTGGTTTTACAGGTTAACAGGTGCTATAGTGGAGCTGAAGCAATACTTCTCTCCACTTGGGCAGAGGACAAAACTCTATTTAATCTATACCACACAGTCAAACAGTACCTTAACCAAGCAACCTCCTCTGTTCCAAATGAAAGAGTATTTTTCTAAACTAGAGAAACTTTTTAAATAAATTAAAAAAAAAAAGTTTGAGCCCTACTACTGTGGAAAAACACTTTTAGCGAATTAAAACACCTGAAGAAACAGAAGCACCCTATTAATTACACCAAACACAATGTCAAAAAAACACTCAGCACACCAAGCACACAAAAATGAATGCCAAACCAAAGATGTTCACATTGTTACATAAATAATAATAAATAATTTTTCATGGGTAAATTAGCAAGGATATTTAATTAGTTACTAAAAACACATATACAACACATGCATAAGTGTTATTATATACAGAAGAGATGCATCATTTGAGGATTTCATTTGGTGCAACAACCACTTCTGCCAGTAGATGCCACCAAAGGGAACTGAAAAAAGCTTTGGAACCACTTTAAAAAAACCATTTTAAACCACTTTATGGCACAGTGGTTTAAAATGATTCAATGCTTCCAAAAGTCTTGTTTTACCATTACTACTTTAAAGCTTTATAACCCATATATTGGTATATATTGGCCATATAGTTCCATTCTTCAATTTAAGGTTTGTGTAGAAGCCACATCTGATCACTCTTGTGAACTCTTGTGAACCACTTCTCCTTTAAAAGCTTAGCACAGAGATGGAAAACATCCATAGGTTTAATAAATACAACAATTTCCATCCTCTGAGTCTTCAGGGGCTCAGATGAAGGCAGTAAAAATACTTTTGTCTTGATGTTGCCATTAAAAAATCAGGTTCTGTCAACAAAACTATAGATGTTTTTTCAATGCAGAAGCAATTTTTTCCTTTCAGCTGTTAAATAAATAATCAAAACACAAAATGCTGAAGGCATGTCTTGTTTTCTGACCTTTCCCATTAAAAATAAAACTGAAGACCCTTAACATCTAAATGATCATTTATGCAGGTTATACCTATACTTTTGTCACGTCACTTATTGTACTTTTTCTTTTCTCTGCAAGTCATAATAATGCCATATTAATTTACATTTTCTAAGATATATATGCATATTGTTCAGACTCAGTAGGTCTGTCCCTCTTGTTGTCATGATTGTTTGGCAACCAAAGTTATGTTGAAGTGAGAGTTGGACTGCTGCTAAAGGCTAGACTGTCCTAATTCACAGCTGATCAATTGCAGCTCTCAGTGTTTTGAACTCTTCAAAGGACTCAGCCTAAAACTGGATAGAGCTCTTTCCATTAATAATAGCCAAACAGAGCATTAAGGAAGATCACCTTGGAGATTTGGTTTAAAATTTTAAAATTAGCCTATTTAGCTGGGTGGCCTATGACAAAGATTTCAAACCATTTAGAATTAATTTTAAATTGAAAAATGGACAAGTAAAGTATTAAACATTCGAGAAAAAAAAAATTCTCAAGAAAGGCCACATTCTAAGTTTCCAAACTCTGCAGAGGGAGTTCCATTTGAAAATCAAGATTTTTACATGTACCTTCAGCTATGGGACTACTATTTAAAAGAGATAAGCCCAGTCCTCCCAGGTGAAATTCATAAAATTACACAAATATTAAATGATGCAGATAAAAGCAAAATTGGTATCAACACGTTATAAAGAATTAATAGATAATAGGAAAACCTCAATGATGTATATTAGAGACCATCTACAGGAAGACATAAGTGATCCTATGTGGAACACTTTTTGTAAATCGCAGGTTACCAGTACTAGTTCTAGGAATTGGAAACCTTTTTTGTAAATTTAGTCATTTTTTTTTAATACTCCAAAGATAAAAAAGGCATTGTTATCCTTAAACCATTCCTGCTGGAGACTGTGTGGAGAACAGGATGTGGGTCATGCACATATATTCTGGAAGTGCTGCAATCCATCCCAATCTTGGGAAGAAATTGCCAAATAAATTGATAAGAAACTGAGGTACAGAACCCCAAGGAAAATACTGACATTATATTTTAGTCAAGTAAAGGGAGCAGAGATTCAGAAGAAAAATCATTATTTATTTAAGATTCTGTTGGCAGCAGCAAAAAAGTTAATTCCACACAATGGTACAAAAATGAACCCGCTAGTGGGTTAAACTGGATGGACATAGTAGAGGAAATTCACAGCTCGGAAAGACACACTTTTATAATAAGGTTGCAACAAGCAAAATATGAAGATCTTCGAAAACAATGGACAATGTATATCAATGATTAATGACAACGTGTTCTTTGTAATTTATTCTGTCTGATATTATTTGTACCTTTTAAAAATAATCAAATACAAGTGGAAAAAAGGAAAAACATAGCAAATAACAGCAACAAAGGATAAACTCAACAAAAGAAACATAACTAAACAAAATTAAAATCTTAATGTTTATTTTTATGATATAAAGGGGAAAAAATCATTGTTTCCATGCCAACACAATACCATACTGTATATATCACTGAAGCCAGAAAGAATGTTTGACATTAAATTAACCAACTTAAAAGAAAATCTGTAAAATAAGATCTTTTTCGATTTTTTCCTTAATTCAGTTTAAGACTGACCCTAAACTATTTGACCTGAAGGTTTTTTTCAATGCAAGCAGATCAGGTTCATAGAAATAATCAGTTTCACAACATAACAGAGGCAGATTCAGAGTCATATACATATATTCAAATAATTCCCACATCAGTGCAGGTAGGCTAAGATTAGGATAGTGCTGTGGCTTTCAGCACAACACTAAACCTAAAGCTTTGTTTATTTTTGACACATCTACGATCTATACAGAAATACCATGTTTTCATTTTATTTGTATGACGTGTTGCACTTTATTTCTTTAATACATTTAGTTGAGATTATACATTTGATTAGTAAGCTGTTAAGAGTTTTGAGAAAAACAAAAGCTTAGCCAAAAAATCTGAAAAAGCACATCTTTAAGGTCCCTCCAAAGCAGTCTAACCTAAATTTAATCTTGAATAAACAACAATAATAATAATGTTGATTATTGAAACAGATTTATCCTGAGTGTAAATTAGGTGGGCTTTCAAGGAAAAATATAAAAATACCCTAAATGCGAAAACCAGTTACAATCTTTTAACTAGACAGTCATGATTTCACTTGATGCTGAATGATTCCTTGAGACTTTTCTTTGCCTGCTCTACTGTGATTTTCTTCCAACCATCAGGAATGTCAGCAGGCTCTGCTTTATATGCTTCAGCAAATTCCTTGTTGTATTTGTTCATCACATATTTCCAATAATCTGATGCCTCATAACTTGAATCTGGAGTAATTTTCCAGTCTGGAAAAATCTTCCTATATTCTTTGTAAGGATGCCATTTATTGTTAGTAGCACTACAGCGAAAACTGTTGTCACTGATGACAAGAGAAGAGCAGATATCAGTTGTAAGTTTTTTTTGAATCTTCCCACCTACACAGACCCAAACCCATTGGTCGATGCAGGGAAGCAAAGTGTTCAGTGTGAGCTGCTCCTCCTGCATCACAGGGTATTTCACAGAATGGACACTGTTTGCCACAACCAACCACTCTGTTGAAAAGCTCATCCTGTGGTTTTAAATTGAGCTGTCTGAGTTTTGTTTCAAAGTCTGTGTTTTTAAACTTCTTTCCAAGAGCTTCTTTCATTTCCTTCACACACTCACTGAGCCAGTGAGCAAACTGTTCCTGGTCAGCCTTGTTCAGAACCATAAAGGCATTGAGAGCATCCTGGGGAATTACCAGTTTATCACCAAGTTCTTTGCAGATATTTTCAACAAATGTCTTCAGGCTGTCATTCTTTTCTGCTTTTGCTTTTTCTATGGCAGAATTTATATGATCGATGCAGGACTGAAGATGTCTGTCCTCTAACTCACATACTGAGAACTTAGAGTAGAAACTCTCCTTGATTCTATCACGTATGAATACTTTTACATAATATTTATATGAGCAAATGCAGCACTGAAAGCTTTCGAAGTCGCTTTTTTCAATCAAATCCAGTAAAATTGAATACTGGAAAGCCATCTGTGTGCTGAACTCTTCTTTTGTCAGCATTTTATCAACAATATCTGAACCAAGAGAACGAGAGACAAAGTTCTCCACAGCAGGTTTCAGACACTGGTTGGTGAATTCTTCAGCTTTCTTCTGGCACTGATCTCTTTCATTGAACACATCTTTAAAATCTGTGCAGAACTTTTCCTTGTTTTTCTGCAGACATCTCTTAGGATCATTTTCTTGTATGAAATGTTCATGCATTTTTTGAAACTCTCTTGCAGCAAATCCACAGATGTGCTGCTTCAGAGAAACCTCAAACTCAATGTCGCTGTTAATATCATCATTGTTCAGCTTCTCATCAATGATGTTAAGGATCTCCTGGATGTATATATCATAATAATTTGTTTTCCATTCCATTTTCTTTAACACAAATTCACTGCAATGAGATATGATGCTGTTTGCATTTTTTTGTCTCTCCTTTACTATATCCTTCCGAGACCAAAATCCTTCCCAAGCAACAGTGACATTTTCCTGCACTCCTTTAGGTTTGTATTCAAAAGGCTTCAATCCACAGTCTTTAAGTCTTTTTTTACTTAGCAGTTCACACGCAAGGCTTCCTTTGGGTGAAAGATTTGTTTGCAACTGATGGTCAACACTTGCATAGATATCTGAAGTCTTCTGTGCTGCAAAAGACAAGGTGTTCAATGTTTTGGTCCACATCTTATCAAAACTTTCCTCAAGCTCTCTGTCTATCATTTCAACTTTTTTCTTTCTGCACTCATTAATCAAAGCATGAACTGCTTTTTCAATTTGTTCTGTATAGTTGGTCTTAATTTTATCCAGTTCTTGCTTTCCCCGTTTGATGTCCGCTGCTACTCTGAGCTGCTTAAACACTGATTTTTCTGTTTGTCCTCTAAGACTCTTTATGCTGTTAGAGAAGTCCTCTCTATATCCTTCAACCAGGTAAACATGACCTTCTGGCTGCTCAAAGTATTTCTTCAGGTTCTCAAGAATCTTTGACTCAAACTTAATCAACTCTTTGACTGCTTCACTTTTTAACTCAGTGATAAAGTTCTCCATGTCAGATATGTCAGATGTTGCAGCAGCTGTACCAAAATTAGAAATTCTAGTTTCTGCTTTGGTAACCCAGGTGTACATATCTTTTTTGAACTCCCACTCCCATTTGTTGTACTCTGTGCAGAGCCTCATGTATGCATCAGCTACCAGACTGTTTCAGAAGCTGAAGATGAAGTTTTCATGTTTTACTGCGTTCCACAGGCTGGTTATCCACTCTCTGAACTCCAAGATGTTATTAGAAGTTGACCCACACTTTCCCAGCAGTTGGATGATGTTTTTCTTGAACTCATAGACAGCCTCACTGTATCCTGCATTAACTGGTGCCATTGGTGGGTTTCCATTCCAGAGTCCAGGAATGTAGCAGTTCCCAGTGTCTAGATCGTACTCCATTACATCAGTGAATTTCTTGTTCTTCTCTTTCTTTTCCATTTTAGCTGCTGCCTGGGTCATCTCATTCAGCTGTTCTAGGAGCAGCTTCCTGTCTCGTAGATTCTTCCCATGAGCTGAAACATCAGAAACGTTCTGGTGAACAAACTGACATCTGGGCTTTTTACCAACCTCCGTCATCCTGAGGAAAGCATGCACCACTATCTGCAGGATGTCTTTCATTTCTGTTGAATTCTCCATTGAAATATTGATAATGGTGACATCACTCAGCCCAACAACAAGTGTTGCCAGTTCATTGTCATGTTCATGGCTGTTGTCCAGTTGAGCGAGATCAGGAGACTTTAAGCCTTCAGTGTCGATGATCACCATAAAGTCACAGTTTAGAACATTTCTGAAGTCTTCATTGACTTTGATGAGCAGCATGAAGGCACCTCTAGTGCATCGACCACTGCTGACTGCAAACTGCACTCCAAACATGGTGTTAAGGAGGGTGGATTTTCCTGTGCTTTGAACTCCAAGAACTGTGACGACCACTATCTTGTTCTTAGGAGACACCAAGTCATTGAGCTGATAGAGAACATCACTCACCCATCTGAGAGGTATGTTGGAAGCATCTCCATCTACAAGCTCAAGAGGAAATCCATCCAGCAACAACTGAGCACAGAGTTTAGGCAGATGTTGCAGTTGTTGACGTGATGGGTTACTTTCAGGAAGAGAAAGGGAAGCTTCATAGATCTGACCCATTTCACGGAAGAAGTGTTCAACTCCCAGTGAGCTATTGGAAAGTTGTTGGTCAATTTCTTTGATTTCATTTTTGTTCTCAGAGTCCTTGGATTTTTCCTTGGAAATAGCCCTAAGGCCAGAGAGTTTTACTCGAGACAAGTCATCAAGATTCATTCTCATCCATTTCAGAAAATAACCCCTCTCTCTCTCTGGGCTGGATATTGCAGTAATGAAGCGTTTCATTCCATCTGACATAGCATAGGAGTTCTGTTTCTGACGCAGCTCTTCTTTTTTCATTTTAAGATTGCTTTTATAGTTTTCTATGTTTTCAGATCTAATTTTTCAAAGACGAAATTCTTCCTTTTCCAAGAAAGTCAGTTCCTTCCATATTTGGCCTTGCAAAGGAAACTGTTTCTCTTTGTATTTGAAGATGTCTTTAATCTCTGCAGTGATGGCATCTGCTTTTTCCTTCCCATTCTGGCATTCTGGAAAATCCTCATCAACTCCTATTCCCAGTTCATGTGCAACATCAGCCATCCTCTCTACTGACATCTTCATCTGGGGATCATAAACCACATCCTTGATTATTTTTCTGAGTCCTCTGATAAAAGCAGCATCATTTGTTTGTGTTTGTTTTATTATGAAGTTTTTTGTCCCCTGATTATTTGCTAACCTTGTTAAATCATCACTGCTGAAGTTTTTGTTTTGTTGGTTTGCTACCAAGTATATCTTTACTTTGTGGTTTTTGTTAGCCAGCAGTTCTAGCTGTGATTCCAGCTGCTTAAGCTTATCAAAGAACACAAAAACAGCAGCAGATGTCTGACACAAAAAACAGAATTGTGTTTCAAATGAAGCTATGTCACCGCGAAGGTTAGCTATAGCTACTGGCTCACTGAAAATGTCCATGTTTTTGTTTCCACAGGGAAGGTACCAGGTAATTTCAGTCAGTCCATTGGATATTCGTCTTTGACTGTCTCCACACTCCATGTTGCTGTGAACAAAGGTGTCATGGTTCTGCTGAGAGTTACTCAGGAGTTTATTTAGGATCTCTGATTTAGACATGGAGCATTCACCCAGTCTAACAAAAGAGACCATTGGGAGTTCAGAGGTAACTATTCTTTCTTCAATGAATCCCTTTGATTCTGAAAGATCTGGAGGTCTGTACTTCTTAACAATGTCTCTCATGGCCCACAGCATGAGGGTGCACTGCTTTGTATTACAGGTTGGAAGCAGCAGAGGAACTGAGAACTGACACATAGACATTTTTAACACCAGATCTTGTTGAACAAAACCATCAGAGCACAGAAAGAGAGCAGTGATTAAGTCAAGAGGGTTTACCATGTCATCTGTGTTGGTATTTCTTTAAGAAATACCAGGGAAGATCAGATTTTTCCTTTATTGGTTCATCAAAAATGGTGTTCCTATTGATCTCAAGGATCTTCTTGAGTGAAATCTTCTCTCTGTAGAACTCCTGCAACCCAAACCTCAAATCCTCCAAAAGGCTCTTCAGGTAAGTCTCTGTGGAATACAAAAAAAACGTAATGACTGTGTACGAAAGTCAGCACTTACCCCTACATACTATAGAGCACGATATAGGGGTTACACCACTTTGTGAGTGTCAGATTATCTTAAAGATTTATCAGGTGTTAATGGTAATCTTTACAATATAGGAAAGATTGGGAAATAATGAAGAAAAATGACGTGAATGGAGCATCATTTCTGCTCCTGGAAACAACCAAACTATCAGACAAATTCAATGACTTGGAATGGAGAATGAGGCACAACAATATAAGAATACATGGCATTCCTGAAGGCTCAGAGAAAAACAACACCATTAGCTTCGTACCACAATTTATTAAATCCCAGATTCAAATCACAGACGGGATGGACTTGTGTATTGAAAGAGCACACTGCCCACTAGTGAAAAAACTAAAGGACAGCACAGTCCCCCAAGAGCAATCATTGTACGCTTCTTGCATTATAAGATGAAGGAACAAGTGTTAAACTGGCCTTGAAACAGAAGATCTGCGATGAAGGACAGACTGTTTATTTAAACCAAGACTACACACCTCCGTTGTGTAGTCTTAAAAAGAAAGCAGGTGAGGGATGTCATCAAACAAATGAAGGAGAGGAATGTGAAAGTGCAACCCCATATACGGCCAAAACAAAGTGTTTCTGGACATGGGAACAAAGATATTCAGCACAGGGGAAGAAATAGAGCCTATATTGAGGGAGATGGGCATCAAGGTGAAGGAGGAATCACTGGAGAGAATTCACAGTATGATGGTGCAGGCGGCAAAGGGGACCAGACACGGGGGTAAACAGAAACAGCCCGAAATAGAAACAGGCGGATCTGAGGGCATCCCTTGAGAGAGGATGTCATCTACAGCAACATCGTGATAACGGCTGACATATGTACTACTGGCTGGCTGACACTCTGCTACTGGTCATGCCTAAAACCAGACTTAAAACCAAAGGTGATCGTGCCTTTATGGCAGCGGCACAGAGACTCTGGAATAACTTGCCTTGGCATATTCGATCGGCAGGCTCCTTTCAGGTTTTTAAATCCTCTCTAAAGGCACACATCTTCTCTCTGGCTTTTAAGTCTAAGTGGACATTTGGCAAAATTCTATTTAAAATTTTAAAAGGTATTTTAATTAAAACATTTATCCCATTATATTTTATCTCCATTCAATTTTTCTTTTTGCATCGTGTTTATGTATTATGGCTTTCAATTGTTATCTTATGCTCTGCAACTGTGATTCCTGTACAGCACTTCGGTCAACCCCGGTTGTTTTAAATGTGCTTCATAAATGAAGTTTAAGTTGAGTTGCATATGTATGAATGCATACATGCATCTCTCTAGAGAGATTAATTGTCCCAATCCGCAAAGTAAGGACTATGATATTTGTTGAATTAAAAAAAGAAAGAAAAGAAAAAGAAAACACTAATTATAAAACAACTTATTACATTACAAGAAAATATTGTTTACTAGATAGCAGTATCGAGGAGTTAGAGGCCTTAGGGCTTTAGACAACTACTAGGAAGTTGTCAATGCACACAGTGCTTGTTCATTGGAGAGAAGGTCACAACTTTCTGATGCTGAGACTCTTAGAAAATTTTTGTTTATGTTCAAGTCATTGTCTTGGGGGATCCTGTTTGAATAAGTGTTTAAATTTTTTTTTTAATTCTCTCTTTTAGTACAGGGTATATTTCATGTATCATACTTTTCATTTCAAAGAGGTGTCAGGTACAACGTAGCTTCAAATATGGTAGTATGGTATGGTATGGTAGCGGGCTAAATATAGTATCCTACAATGTTCATGGTCTGAACCCCCCTATTAAACGAAAGAAGATTTTGACTCAACTAAAAAATCTACAGTGCACAATAGCTCTACTACAGGAGACACACCTAACAGAGAATGAACACAAAAAACTGAAAATGGAGTGGATAAGTCAGGCATTTTATGCCTCATGTGGAAAAAGGAGGGGGCTTAGCAATTTTAATTAAAAAAAGGGATATTGTTTAAAATTGAAAAAGAGGTGAAGGATAAACAATGAAGATATGTAATTATTGTAGCACAAATAAGAGATACAGTGGGGCAAAAAAGTATTTAGTCAGCCACCAATAGTGCAAGT